CAACCTTATACGGAAACAAAAACTACAATTTAAAACCTAATTCTTAACAACGAAGTACCAGTAGTAGACTAAATTCTTCCTAATACTCGGGAACATGAAGGACGTTGTTCAAAGTCACCACTTTGCCGGAAGTCATTTTGAGAAATATCTTCCCACATCCTTCAATCTTCGCCTTTGAAGCATTTCCCATAGAAATCGTCTCATCGGGTCCAACAGGAGAATAAGAAGCAAAAGCTTCTCTAACAGCACAAACATGGCGAGTGGCTCCAGAATCAATCCACCACTCTTTAGGATTGCCCACCAAGTTGCATTCGGAAAGCATGGCACATAAATCATCAACATCATCACGCTTTTCAACCATGTTTGCTTGACCTTTCTTCTTGTCTTTCTTTGGAGCACGACACTCCGTAGATTTGTGTCCAGTTTTTCCACAGTTGTAGCAGTTTCCACTGAACCGCTTCTTGCTTGGGTTGTATTTCGGTCCAGAAGCCTTCTTCCTCTTTTTATTCTCTTCAACAATATTTGCTCCCATTATTGTTGAGTTTCCACGGCCTCTCTTTTCAGCAGCTTTGTTGTCCTCTTCGATTCTCAACCGAACAATGAGATCTTCAAGGGACATCTCCTTGCGTTTGTGTTTCAAGTAGTTTTTGAAGTCCTTCCACAAAGGAGGCAACTTCTCAATCATCGCTGCTACTTGAAATGCTTCATTGATAACAAGACCTTCAATGAAATTTCTATTAGTAAAAATACCAAGATTACTACTTTCAACATCAATATTAATTTGAGTTATACCTTCAGCAAGGAGATCGTGAATAATCACTTGCAATTCCTGGACTTGGGTAATAACAGACTTGCTATCTACCATTTTGTAGTCCAAAAACTTTGCAGCAACAAACTTTTTCAACCCGGCATCTTCGGTTTTGTATTTCTTTTCAAGCGCAGTCCACAGTTCCTTTGACGTTTCCACGCCACTGTAGACGTTATACAAAGCATCCTCCAGCCCGCTTAGAATATAATTCTTGCACAAAAAATCTGAATGCTTCCACGCCTCAATCACGAGAAAGCGTTCAGTTTCTGGAGTTTCGTCGGACAGCACAGGAACATCTTCCTTGATGAACTTCTGGAGACATAGAGTAGTCAAATAGAAGAACATCTTTTGCTGCCAGCGCTTGAAATCAATCCCGGAAAATTTTCCGGGTTTCTCCGCCGGTGCCAATGCTGCCGGTGTCGTTCGACTTGTTGAGGCATTGGCAGTCACCATTGGAACAGCTTGGTTCTCATTTTCATTAGTCATTTCTGTAAAAGAATGACACAAACGTTAAAATCACGTAGATTTTAATAGAGTACAAAACCACAAAGGTTTTACTCTTCCAGAAACAATAAGTACAAATACAGAAATCAAATTAAATTCCTTAAGCTTGTTAGTAGACTGTATTTATAAAATAATTCTGGAAATATAAATGAGTATAAACAGAAATGAACATAAACAGAAATGACATAAAACCAATTCGAGCCCACTGAATTCACAGTGTTTCCTTAAGGAATTTAATCCCCTCCTAGTACCCAAGGTTATGGATTATTTCCTCCCAGGATAGAACGAATTACACACTGGTGTAGTGGTACTTCAAACCCCAGTGTTTCAGCGAACACAAAGTTCGGTAGCAAATCACACTTACTTTTTACTTTGTTTGATGCTAAAAGTATGCAGAAGAAGGAGAGAAAACTCGGAAAATCGTAGTGAAATTCTGAGCAGAATAGTGTTGTATTTATAGCCAAAGTTGTGCTGAAATCTGAAGAGGTGCAACTCTTCAGCATGGCTATTTATGCAAAACGCCCACAGCATAAATGCCATTACATAAATGGCCATTTACTCAATAATAAAGAGGAAAAATAAAGAGGGAAAATTGAAGAGGGTAGTTACTTTCCGAAGCCGAAGCCGAAGCCGAGCGAGCGACGACGACGGCGCGAGGCTTGCCTTCTTCTCAACTCTTTAAGAGCTAGAAGAAGAGCAATTGCTTATATACCCATAAAAAACCTCTTCCTCTTCCAATTTGGGACAATGCCCATTTGCCAAGGGAAAAACTTAAAATTTTACTCAAAAATTTCATTTCCCTCCATTTCCCGTTCACCCTCTTTTAAGTATTTAATATATATTAATTAAATACACCAAAACCCAACGGGTAGAACCCATAAAATTCAAATCTTGGATCCGCCTCTGCACAAGATGAATATTGAGCACCTAGATTTCTAGCCAAAAAGTATGAGTAACCTTTTGCGTTATTGGCAAGGCGTCATTTTTAGCAATATCAGCGAATTGACACAATGTCAATGAAGACAAACTTTAAAACATGATACTAGTCTTAAGGTAAAAAAATAAAGAATTTTCATTAATTTATGGTAAATGTTCTTTATTGAAAAAGGCCCATCAAAAATGCGCATGTGAGATAGAAACCTCTTCTAACTTCAAATAGGAAATGCCAATTGCTATATGTATAACTGAAGCAAACCATCATAAATCAGATAGAATCCAAGATTGAGTCAACATCTGGTGTTATAATGATACGCTTAGTAAGCTCCCCAATGTTAGAACAATGCTTCTCTTCTGTATTAACAGCGACAACATCCTGCGCAAACGCACAATCCATACCTGGAGAAACCTGCAGTGATTTCTACCAATAAGGTGCTTGAATAGATAAGCTTTTCATTTTATCTTTCTCTTAATGATGATTTTTAAGGCATATGCTAGTTTAGCTAAGTGTAAATTAGTTGCTACTTCCAAAGATACAAAATGAAATTCATATGAAACAAGTTCTAGTTATATTGTAATGAAGCAAACTTACATCATAAAGGGTTTCACCAAGCTTCAATTTAACCGCACCACTCTTGTACACTAACATTTTACCCATGAAGCCCCTAGGTAATTCATTTATACTATAGGCCTTAGTCTTTGAAGGCCTTGAGCTGCTCGCCTCACTGCCTTCTGTTTTAACCGATTGCTTCAACATTGGCATGGCTGTTGGTAATTGAATGAAGAACATCTTTTCCTCCAGATTCTCCTCCTAACAATTATTGATGTAAGTATTCATGGCAATTACTTAATAATAAGTCTGAAGCCAAACCATGACCAGTTAATTACTAACCATTAGACCAAGCTCCATGGCTGGTTTTATGGAATTTTCATCGTAACTAAAGCTTTGCAAGGCTTCCCCAAATTCTTCCTCGTCAAGAAGTTCTGCGACATAAGATCAATACCTTGATTAGGTATTATGGTGAAAGGTGCGTATGAATGGCAACCATCATATTTAAAGAATCTGAAATAAGCAAATCACAACCCAAATTGAAAGAGATCGGCTGCTTAATTAAGTTTTTCATGTTTCAATATAGGATGTGCTCTTTGTCTTCCTGAAATATAGCAATTTGGTTTTCATAGCATTGGCTGAACTTTACCTGGATTTCCTGAATAGGGCCTCCTCAAGGGAAGAGTCATAGGATAGTTGGTATAATAATCCTGAGATACAAAATGGGAAAGAAAACATCAGGCACAAGAACATTTGCAGCGGAAAAGACTGAATACGAAGTGCATTAATCTTTAAAACCAACCCATGGCTCGGTGTATTCTTTCTGCACTTGCTGCACGCCCGTACCACCTGCAAAACCAAGATGACGTTAAACAGGCTGCAAATATCCATATAGCAGAAAGTAAAATGGTTAGAGAAAACACTTGCCGATTGAGCTGTCAAACTTTTTATGACCCTTGAGAGGGCCATACGATTTCAGTGCAGATGATGAACCTCCATAACCAAATGCAACTTGAGTAGGTCCTACAGAAATTCAAGGAAGAAATTCTAAGAATATCAAGATATGTAGGTCGTATATATCTTGAAGTAAACTCATGACAGATTTCCTAAAAGCATTAAGAACTAGAAATGTAAAATAATTGATCAACATATGCTAAGTGTGGGAAAGGTATTGAATGTTGGAATTGTCAATTTCCAATATTAACAGCTGTAAGATTTAAAATGGTGGATGTGCGGTGAAGACAAAACTAAATTGTACAACTTCTTTGTTTTTCAGTACAATAGGCACGTTAACAGCATTGCGGAACTGTCAAATGGCAAACTACACCAGTAACTACACTTAAGCAAAATTCAGAAGGGATTGAGCAGCTTTCAAGAACTCGACTATTACTATTTTATGCTTTTTAATGCTTTTACCTTTCAGCGAAGTAAATGTCTTGGGAGAGGAGTCCAAACTGAATTCCTAAGATCAAGTTTCTAGAGATACACACCAGAATCCAAAATGAAGAGTAGCAATGTCTAGCCGGATTCATAATATGATATTTACATATTTATTTTTTCCATAGACTATAAACTCAACTTATTACAAATATCTACGGAATCTTACCATCTAAAATTCAGGTGATTGGAATCCGCCAACTGAAACCATAAACGGCATACACCCAATAAAAGGATATCATAGAGTTTATTTTTCTAAAAAATGAACCGACCTCCTTCGATCCACTCTCATTCACCCTTACTGATAATTGACATGTAAAACCGGATTTTCAAAAAGATCACAACATCATCAGGTAAAAAGATGTACCTTTCTTTTCAGCTTTAGGTTTAACTTTAGCCGAAACTTCCTACAATTAAAAGCAGAACATTTTTTAGACCACAAACCAAATCATTAAGCACACTCTTTAATGAATTGAAACCAGCAAAAGTATAAATACATTGAACCGCTGCATCAATTCCTCTGCTTTAGCAGCATCAACATCCTCTTCAATGTTTTCTCTGGACGAAATGGTAAAATTTTCAGCAAATCACAATCTCAGAAAAACTAAATACTTCCAACAAATTAAAGTTTCAGATTATTACGGTTTAGGCAGAACAGTCTTTTGTGCTCTACGAGGAGGACCTTTGGGTGCAAATCTCACCTACAGAAATTCAAATCAACATTGCATCAAACAACACACAGAAACATCAATCAGAGATTAAAACAACAGAACATAATGGAAAGTAATTACCTTTCTAGGCGCTTTGGTTGTATTGGAAGCCAAAGGATCTGAATCCATGAGATATATCAATGCAATAAACTTCTGTCACAAAAGAATAAAAGAATGCAAAGATTTTAATTAACACATGATCATACACGCTCTCAAAGCATACTTTATATATAAATACACTCACTCTCAATACCCCATTTTATGTTTGCAAAATAAATCAATTATTGACCATCAATGATAAATATAATCACACATTCAGCACCCATAACAGAATCCCATTATAATTAACACACCCTGATTCTTTATTTATTGCTTTTAAAAGATTTAGTAACACTTATTAAGATCAATTGATTGATTATGTTCATTCTTGATTGTGATAAATATCTCACCAGTTGGTGCAAGAATGGCACTTAATGGAGAGGAGGATTCTGTAGGCAGGAATTGGCAGGGAAGAAGGGGGGGTTGGAACTTAGAAGCGGCTGTGTAGGGTTTAAGAGAGGTTTCTAAAGTAAACGTGTTCTTCTGTTAACTATTGTTTGGTCCTTTCCATATGCGTAGTGCCCGCGGTAGTGCTATTCTACGCAGGGGTGGTCGTCGGTCGGTACGGTACGGTATTTAGACATTTCGCTTCGGTATTTTCGGTATTCGGTTTCTTAAATTCCTATACCAATACCGTACCTAATTAAATTCGGTATGGTTCGGTTTTTCTCCTTTCGGTTTCGGTTCGGTTCGGTTCGGTAGCTTCGGTTTATTCGGTTTGAATACTAGCTAGTGCATAGGGCCATAGACTCTAATATTCGTAATTAAAATACTCAAAAACAAAACTAAAAATATTTGTTGACAAAAATTTTGTCCAAAACTAACAAATATCGACTCAAATAGAGAAAATTGTACATAAAAAAATATTTTATCGTTAGAAATGTCTTTATTACTTGTTTAGAGTTAATTGATGAACTTATAGAATAAAGGAAAGTAAAATTTTAGATTTTTTATATTTGTGTTATAATTGATAATATTGTTTTGTGCAATATAATATATATTTCGGTACGGTATCGGTATTTCGGTATTTTATTTTAAAATACCAAATACCATACCTAATACCAATTTTTTTTAAAACTTAAACCAAATACCATACCAAATACCAAAATACCGTATACCAAATACCAAAATTTTCGGTTTCGGTACGGTAATTCGGTATTTGCCAAATTATGCACAGCCCTAATTCTATGCACACTTCGTCTCATTTAACAAAGAAATTTAAAGATTTTTATTGTAATCTAAATTCAATTATAAATATTTATGATATAGTAGTCTAAATGTAGGCGTCCGAAACTTTTTTGATGCTTTTTTGGACAAAAAGCACATTTTAATGTTTAAAAAAAAAGTTACATAAATAGGTAATTCGCATTATTATACTGCGAATTACATTAACAAAAATTTAGCCGTTAAAGTAATTCGCAGTATAATACTGCGAATTATTAAAAAATTATTTTTTTATGCAATTCGCAGTACTATACTGCGAATTGCTTAAAATGGGCCCAGTAATTTTTTCAAAAAGTATTTCGCATTATTATACTGCGAATTAGGTTAATTCGCATTATAATACTGCGAAATGCCCTTTTTTACTGATTTTTGGCCCCACAAATAATAATTAACTGACATAACAATAATTCAAATACATAAAACGCAATATAATACTGCGAATTCCTTTAAAAAATTCTACACCCCAAGCTCGGACTTGCCTTATTTATAGGCGTTTCAATTTTATGAAAATTCATTCAATACTTAACTTCAAACATACGTTCATCATTCTCTCTTCTCCTTATCAATCATTTTTTTAAAATGTCTGAAGTGCCAAAAATAAGGGTTTCACTGTATTGGGGGGAGGGTGAGGTTGTGGTGGAGAATAACTCTGTGAGGTATAGCTCACCTCCACAGTGTCATGTTAAATTGCCGCTTACTATGGAGTACGATACATTGGTATCGTTGTTACGTAAAAAAATGAGTGAGCGGAGGCGTTCGGTTAACCTTAAAGTAACCGGTAAATTTCCGTATTCAGTGACTCCACAGGGGTTTGCTTATTATTCTGAGTTTAACATCGAGGATGATGAAACTGTTAGAGACTTTTTGCGGATTCCGGATGAATACAGGGAATTTATTGTAATAAAATTATTGGAAATGTACGTCAAGGTGGAAGACGTTCCCAGTAATGAGGGCGTGCATAGCATGGATAACCCCCAGTCATCGGGTGGTTATTCTGGAGCAGTTTTTGCCGGACAGATTGCTGATGAAAGAGCTTGCCTTGATTTAAACTTGTCACCACCGGCAAATGAGCAGCCACAAAATAATTTTTCCACTTTATATAATCAACAAGACGACTGGTAAACTTCAATTTTACTATGCTTTAGTGATGTTTTTTTTTATGTTTTAATTAGATTTGTATTAACACTCATATTTTTTATAGGGGGTACCGTTCGGATATGAATTTTACAAATTATGACCCCGCCCCTAGTTGGAATATGCGTAGATTTGGAGTATTGGACAGTGGTCCATCCGGGAGTCATCACCAACATGAAAATATCCATCATGAAACGTCAAGACAATACGATTTGTAAGTAAAGTGATATAGCTATATCTAAAGTATTTTTCCTGAGTTTTGGGTAACTTATCTTTTTGTTCTTTTTGTGCAGTAAAAACGAGCTTCTTGAAGCTCCTGACCTCACACAGTTGCTCATAGACGACGTATTTACTCGTGATTTGGCAGATGCGCAGAGTCAGGAGGATGATAGTGATTATGACAACAATGTGGATGAGTCTGGGGATGACACACCCTTCCATGATGAGGGTGATGATGAGGAGGAGGAAGTGAATGTTGAACCTGAGCTGACGAGGGAGCATGTTCCTCCACCTCCCCCTAGACCAAGAGTGTACGAGTCCCACGTGCCATTTCATGAGCGGAATATTCCCTACCTTGATAATTTGCCAAGCATGCCTAACGTGGATGCCCTCACAAGGGATGATGATGAATTACGGTCAGCGATGTGGGATGAGTCTAGACCAGCTGTTCTGACAAAGGGCATTTATTTCCCCGATAAAGCTCGCCTAATTAGGGCTGTAAAAATCTACAGTATAAGAGAGTGTCATGAGATGACGGTAAGTGAGTCAACTACGGAGAAATACAAGGCTGTATGCCGTAGGTGGTTTATGGGTTGTCACTGGATGCTGCGTGCCACCAAGAAGAAATCAGGTTTGTGGAAAGTGGGTAAATTTATTAGCGAGCACAGATGTGAAATGGACACATTCAATGAGAATCACTTCAACTTGGATGTGGACTTGATTTCCCTTGTCTTGATTCCATTTTTGGAAGTGTCCATTAGGTTCAAGATTAAAGAGTGTATTACAGCCGTCCACCAGGAGTATGGTTGTACTATAACCAAAAGAAAGGCATATCTCGGTCGCAAACGTGCCTTTGAACTTATTTATGGTGACTGGGATAAGTCTTTTTCAAATCTGCCCAGGTACATGGCTGCACTGCAACACTTTAACCCCGGGACTGTTGTTGAATGGAGGCGTGAGCGGAGTTCGGACAGACCGGAATATATTTTCAACTATGTGTTTTGGTCATTTAAACTAGCAATTGATGGTTTTGTGCATTGTCGTCCTGTAATTTCCATAGACGGTACTCATGTCTATGGAAAGTATGATATTAAGCTTTTGATTGCAGTTGCAGTAGATGCCAACGGACAAATATTTCCACTAGCTTTTGCCATTTGTGCCAACGAAAGTGAAGAGACGTGGACGCTTTTTTTGAACCACTTGAAGCAGCACGTTGTCAAACAGCGTTCAGGTATTTTTCTAATATCTGATCGGCATGGTGGTATTTTAAGTTTTGTACGTCACTTGCCTGAATGGCATGAACCATATGCATACCACCGTTACTGTGTGAGGCACCTGAAGGCCAATTTCCAGAAGAAATTTCCTGACAAGGCCTTGCATGACTTAATGTGGATGGCTGCAACTGAGCACCAACAGTGCAAATTCACGAGGCGCATGGAAGCGATCCGACAGATAGATCCACGAGCCTATACTTGGTTGATGCAACATGAGCTTTCACATGTGGACATTGCATGCTGATGGCGGCAGACGATGGGGAGCCCTCACTACAAACGTGTCGGAGTCATTCAACGGCTTGTTGAAGTCTACCTGTGGACTGCCTGTCACTGCCATGGTCCGTATGACATTCAAACAGAGTGCGGAGAGGTTTGTTGAAAGGCATGCAGCTGCATTGGCATTGATGGACAGGGGTGTTGAATTTATGCCAATACCCATGAGAAGATTTGAAAGGTCCAGGAGGCGAGCACAGTGGCATTCATTTCTTCAGTACGATCATGAACGGGGTATTTTTGAAGTTAAGACCGCTATCAACGGACATCGTGGGAATAATCTACAAACGGTGAATGAAAATAGAAGGTTATGTTCATGTGGGAAATGGACCATCTACCACATGCCGTGCGCACATGCGTTGAAGTGCTTTCAACAAGTTGGATATGGGGCAACGAACTATATTGATAGGCAATACAGTGTTGTTGCATACGTAGACACGTATAGTGGGAAGTTGCATCCATTAGGTGCTGAGAATTATTGGCCGCCGGAACCTTTTAAGATGGTATGTAACAAGGACTATTTGCGCAAGCTTCAAGTGCAAAAGAGAACGCGTATACGAAATCAAATGGATGTTGGCAAGTCAGTTTATGCGCGTAAATGTGGCATATGCTCGCAAACAAGATACGACCATCGTAAATGTCCTTCAGGTGGTGTGCGTGGCGGTGATAATCCTGGTGCAAGTTCGTCCAATGTACCCAACTATCAAGGATATCCCTAGTCTTTTATTTTGGTATTATTTTTTGTAATACATGTCTGTAGTTGTGTTTGTTTCAATATATATGAAATAAAATAAATTTCAACAATCTTGTTACATCTTATTTTTTAACGTTATATTTTGATATGGTTGTTCAAATATTGAGGTATGGGTGTTAGTAAACATGACCAAGAATGTGGTATAAAAAAAATTTCGTTAAAAAATAAATTAGATATGTAAAGCGTGGTACAATAATGTGTTTTATCAATTACAAAGTCGTTCTTAAAAGCTGTAAAGCGTGGTTCAAAAGCTTGAATGAATGAAGAAAAAGCTTTTTTTTTGCAGAAAAATTAAATATGTAAATCGCAGTATAATACTATGTTTGTTGAGTTGTCATGTCGTTCTGAAAAAGCTGAAATCAGAATAATTTAATATGTAAATCGCAGTATAATACTACGTTTTGTTGAGTTGTCATGTCGTTCTGAAAAAGCTGAAAACCATGTGAAAACCCTGTTTTTGTATCAGAATAATTTAATATGTAAATCGCAGTATAATACTATGTTTTGTTGAGTTTGTCATTGACGTTTCTGAAAGAGCTAGACAAATCATAGTGAAAACCCTGTTTACGTGTCAGATAAATTTAATATGTAATTCGCAGTATAATACT